CGCGTGAATGACTTGGCCAGCTAGAAAAGAAGCTTCCTAAGAGTCTTTTGAGCTGATTATTCTCCCCTACTTGGAGTGCAAGTCAAGACACAAGATCTCCTAGTTATTTAGTTTCCTTATTGCTTTATAATATCTAGATTGGTTAGGATACTTAATATTTTATTGCTTTATTAATTCCCTAGGTAGATTAGGACTAGATATAATTTGTGCCTATATAAAGGCCTCTTCCCTCATGTTATTTTCATCACCCAAGAATTAATAAGAACTCAAGAACTTTTGTTCATCCTCTTTGCTTTAGTTTTTCACCAAAATTCTATAGCAATTATATCGTTTAGAGGGGTGCGGTTTGTGAACCTCTAGGCAACTATCGGCGATTCAAGGCACTGGTTTGTGGCTTAACAGCAGTCGAAACACACGATCTTCATCAGCGTGGCCCTGCGCGCCACTGCCTGCCAGCATGCTGCCAGCGCGCCCAAGTGCGCGGGCTGCACCCGTTGGGCACCCAACTCGCGTGCCTTCCGTTCCTTCGAGCCACCTGGTTCCTTAGCCATCCCCACCAGGTTCTAATACTTTGATAACCATCCCAAAACCTCCGGTAGCACTTCCTTCCGAGGCGTGGTCTTGTCTGCGTGCGTCTACGCCAATGCGCATGTTCGCGCCCTTGTCTAATGAGCCCTTTCTTGTGCTCGATTGTCGCCCACTTATGGACCACCCTTTTGCGTGACCTTGCATTCCTCCATGCGCGACCTTCCTTGGCCGACTTGTGTGATCGCGCGTCCAACCCGCGTTCTCTTCCACGTGCTTGATCGCGCGCTATCTCTTGACCAACAAGCTTCGACCCACTCACGATCGATCCTTGTACAGTCGACCTTTGTATGGCCGACCCTCGGCTCACCGGGTTCGCCTCATGCACTCGTGCATCGATCTGTTGGGCCTTTCGTCGGCTACCATGGTTCACGCCTATGCGAACTCCTCGATCCAAGCATGTCCGTGCTATGCGCTTATACCTCATGCTCCTCGGGCTCACGCAGCTTCTTCGTGCGCGTATCTTTGTGAACGTGTGAGCTCTTCTCGCGTGTACCCGCTCCTTTGCACAAGACATCCGTCGACTGCCTCGTGTTCGCGTGGACTCGTGCCGCTTCTCATGTGCTTGAGTTCCGCTCATACGAGCTCGTACCCGCCTCTTGGGCCATGCGTGCGTCGTTTTGGCCCTATTTTTAGCCTCCTCGTGTCGTCTCGGCTCTTGGTCCTTCTTGTCGCCAGGGCTCGAAACCCACTTCCGCATCAGGCATGTGACGCGTTGCTATGTACGCGGACTAGGTGGACGGACGCTGAAGTGCGTTGCCGTGCGTGTTGGCGTGCACTGCGCACGTCTACGCACACGACTGCGGCATCGCAGGGGCTTAACTGTCGAGTACCGGGCACGCGTGCGCTTTACTGGGCACGCAGACGCTGCCTGCGTACTCGCTGGGCTTGCCGGGCGTGCCTGCGCGCATGCTGTGCGCGGTAGGCATCACAGTCGGCATTTCGCCGGTCGTCCGGCTACTTTTTCCGACAATCCATACATGACTGGTTATGTTTTGACTTAAAATGACAGAAAATACATACATTACTCGGGACTTGCCGGTTCTATTTTGAAATCACTCGGGAGGGCTTATATAGCACCTCCGAGGTCATTTTTACTAAAGGACAAGAGAGAAAGGTGTGTAGATTGATCAAATCCTGGACCGAACAACATGACTTCGACATGATCTCCTTAAAATAAACTTAACTATATAAAAAGAGGATAAATATGGGTATACACTTCAGTTCGGTCAAAGATTGCATGGAGATGTGCGTGCGTGTTCGTGCTTGACTTTGGTGTCCGAGTGCTTCCTCTTTGCTTCCACAATGCTTAGCTATTTTTATGTGATTTTTCTCTTATTTTTCCTTACTGATTTCTCTCTCGAATATATGCTGAAGTTGATCGAATTTAGTGCATGAAAATGCATGGAGAAGACGTCCATGCTCGGTTATTTAAAGAATGGTAAAACCGTGTGGTAGAATTGGGTCAAAGGGGTGATTGATGACAATGCTTCCCTTGACAACAAGTGGCATAAACGTGGCTGAAGTTTGGGTGATTTTGGCTTAGTCATTGCCGAGGTGGCGGCCATGCACGGGCTTAGTCATCCCCGTGCATTCGTGTCACGCCATGTGTGCAAGTTACTAGGTGAGTCACCATGGCAACTTGCATCCATGGTTATCCTAGATACTAATCCTTACGGCCCAAACAAAGACTTGAGATTTGGGTTGGCTTAGCTTGATCATGGGGCTTAATGGAACATAAGCGTGTGTTTAGGGAATACTTAACGCGTGTGTTACGCGTTGTGCGCGAGGATGCATGCTGCGTGCGTACGCATGCGCGGCTACGCGTACCGCTGCGTGCATGCGTACATGCATAGTGCACCATGTATACATTCATGACTTCACTTGATTTCTACTTCGAACTTAGTCCCGAACATTCATAACTTTTAATAATTAATCCCGATTAATAATGTCCGTTTATAAAATAAATGGTTCGGAAATTAATTATCGATTTTGACTCAGTTAGTAATTAACCGAATAAACTTTTCGACTTAACGTCGAACTTATTCGCTGAAAATGAACGGAATCAGTAAAAGATAATACATCATTTTATTGACAAGAAGTTGGGTTATTACAATCTACCCTCCTTAAAATATTTTCGTCCTCGGAAATATAAAACAAAACATATATACATGAAAATATACATATCAAAACTGAAAGTCGGGAAAACGAGCGCGAATGTCAGCCTCCTGCTCCCAAGTGGCTCCGTGGCGATCCCACTTAATACGAACGAAGAGAACATTACGCTTCCGGAGCCGTCGAACCTGTCGGTCCAACACAGCTACCGGTCGCTCCTCGTAAGATAAGTCTGGATGAATCTCAATATCAGTATGAGGAATGACATGATCGGGTTTGCACATGTACTTGCGTAACATAGATACATGAAAGACATTGTGAATACTAGATAACTCGGGAGGTAAGGCTAAACGATACGCAACATCGCCCACTCGCTCGAGTACTTCGAACGGGCCAATGAACCGAGGGTGTAACTTCCCTCTCTTCCCGAATCGAACAACTCCGCAAAATGGACTAACTCTGAGAAAAGCGTGCTCGCCAACCTCGAACTGAATATCTCGTCGATGATGATCGGCAGTTGATTTTATTCTGCTCTGAGCTGTTCTGAGTCTCTGCCTGATCAACTCGACTTGTTCGGTTGTCTCCTCGATCAGCTTCGGACCGAGTACTCGACGTTCACCGACGTCGTCCCAATAAAGAGGGGAACGACATTTACGACCATATAGTGCCTCATAAGGAGCCATCTGAATAGAAGAATGATAACTGATGTTGTACGCGAACTCGACGTACGGCAATAACGACTCCCATTTAGCACCCCTGTCAACAATCAAAGCGCGTAACATATCCTCCAACGTCTGTATAGTCCACTCCGTCTGTCTGTCAGTCTCGAGATGGTAGGCTGAACTGAAGGCTAGATTCGTACCCATCGCCTCGTGTAAACTCTTCCAGAATTTACTGTTGAATCTGGGGTCTCTGTCTGACACGACAGTAACAGGTACTCCATGGAGTTGAACGATCCCACAGACATAAATCTCAGCCAACCGATCCAAAGACATACTCATCGATACTGGCAAGAAATGAGCAACCTTAGTCAATCTGTCGACCACGACCCAGATAGCGTCGTGATGTTCAGACGACCTTGGTAACCCCGTGACGAAATCCATCGCAACCTCCTCCCACTTCCACCTCGGAATCGGCAGTGGTCGAAGAAGGCCTATGGGACTCTTATGCTCGGCTTTGACTTGCTGACAGGTTAAACATCTTCTTACAAAGTCGGCCACGTCTTTCTTCAATCCTCTCCACCAAAACGCCCCTTTCAGGTCATGGTACATCTTTGTACTTCCTGGATGGGCTAGATAGGGTGCGGTATGAGCCTCAGATAAAATCTCCTTTCTCAATGCTTCGACTTTCGGCACCACAATCCTGCCACGAAACTCCAAGCCCCATCAGTGCCTCGGTGAAAACCCTCGACGCCTCCGGCACGAACTTTGGCATCAATCGTACGAATAAACTCATCTGAAGCCTGCTCTTGCCGGATTCTCTCCCTCAGCGTCGACTGAACCTGCATGGAACTCACACTCCCCGTACTGGCGGTAGGAAGTGCATCAATCACCTAAATCCGCATCCGGGCGAACTCTCGTATCAACTTACTCTGCTGAGTAACTACATACGTCAAGTCACCCTTCACCTTGCGGCTTAGGGCATCAGCAACAACATTCGCCTTTCCCGGATGGTACTGAATCGTACAATAATAATCCTTGACGAGTTCTAACCAACGGCGTTGTCTCATGTTGAGCTCCTTCTGAGTAAAGATATACTGTAAGCTCTTATGATCGGTAAAAATTTCGCATTGACCGCCGTATAGGTAGTGTCGCCAAATCTTAAGGGCATGAACAACTGCAGCTAATTCCAAGTCGTGCGTCGGATAGTTCTGTTCATGTGGTTTAAGCTGGCGTGACGCATAAGCAACGACCTGGCCATCTTGCATAAGTACACATCCCAAACCCTGCCTCGAAGCATCACTATAGATGGTGAAACTCCGAGAAGGATCTGGAATAGTCAACACCGGTGCCGTCGTAAGCCTCCTTTTCAGCTCCTGAAAACTCGACTCACAACGGTCTGTCCATTCAAACTTTACAGACTTCCTCGTCAGCTGAGACAAAGGGAGGGCAATCTTCGAGAACCCCTCAATAAATCTGCTATAATAACCTGCAAGGCCGAGGAAACTACGAACCTCGGACGGATTCTTTGGTGCTGACCAATTCTGGACTGCAGTAATTTTGGAAGGATCAACTTCAATACCTGCTGAAGTAATAATGTGGCCAACAAAAGCCACTCGCTGAAGCCAAAACTCGCACTTGGAGAACTTTGCATATAACTTCTCACGTCTAAGGGTCGAAAGAACGGCCCTCGGGTGCTCCTCGTGCTCCTTCTGGCTCTTGGAATAAATAAGAATATCATCGATGAAGACAATAACGAACTGGTCGAGAAAAGGATGAAATACACGGTTCATCAAGTCCATGAATACTGCCGGGGCATTACTGAGGCCAAACGGCATAACCACAAACTCGAAGTGACCGTATCTCGTACGAAAGGCTGTCTTGGGTATGTCTGACTCCTTGATTTTCAGCTGATGGTAGCCTGAACGCAAATCAATCTTGGAAAACACGCAGGCAGCCCTCAACTGATCAAATAAATCATCGATCCTGGGAAGCAGATATTTATTCTTGATCGTCAACCGGTTAAGATCCCGGTAGTCGATACACTTACGCATGGATCCGTCTTTCTTCTTGACAAAAAGAACTGGTGCTCCCCAAGGAGAAATGCTCGGTCGTATAAAACCGAGATTCAGCAACTCTTGAATTTGGGTGTTTAATTCCTGTAATTCTTTAGGCGCCATTCTGTACGGTGCCTTCGAAACGAGTCCGGCTCCAGAGATAAGATCAATAGAAAATTCCACCTGTCGGCTAGGTGGACCTCCGGGAAGCTGGTCTGGAAACACATCCACGAACTCACGAACGATAGGAATGTCATGAGGTGAACGTGCCTTTGGCTCATCTCCAACGAGGCTCACAAGATAACCCTGGCAATCACCCCGTCGAAGAATCTTTCTGGCTTTCGCCATAGAAATAACATGAGGCAGAGTACGAGTCCTGGAGCCGTAATAAGTGATCTGATCATCTCCCGGAAGATAAAGAATAATCTCCCGGTCGTGACATCGAATATCTGCGTGAAAACGTGTTAGCCAATCCATACTGAGTATGAGGTCAAAATCCCTCATCTCGATAACATCAGCATCAGTAATCAGAATACGGCCGCCGATGGAAAGGCTGAGATCGGTGGCTCTAGCGTCAGTCACTATCTTTCTTCCCGAGTCTAAACTCACCTCGAGAGGATCGACAGCGGTAGTGGAACGAACCCTAATAGCTTCGAGACATCGGCGTGATATAAAAGAATGGGTCGCTCCGGTATCAAATAAGGCATAGACAGGCACATCACTAAGAATAATCATCCCGGACATGGGACCTGGGTGCTGGTCGGCCTCCCTCTGGTCAACTGCAAAGACGCGGGCCTGCTGTCTGCCGCGTTGCTGTTGCTGTGGTCGTTGTGGTTGCTGCCTGGGCTGCTGTTGTTGAGGTTGCTGTGGTGGTTGACGTTGTTGCGGTTGTTGTTGCAGTCATTCTGGACAGTTGGTGCTGAAGTGACCTGGCTGGCAGCAAAAGAAACAAACATTCTGGCCCACGAGGCATTCTCCACGGTGGTGTTTCCCGCAGGTTGGGCATTCTGGATATTGTCTGGGACGGGTCCTCCGGTTGCCTGGGCCCCCTCTGAGCTTTCTCTTCTTCTGGTTCTTTGATGATTGGGCAACGTGAGGCTGGGCTGATGGCTGAGCAACTGGCTGGGCTGGTGTCTGGACGGCTTCTCGTCGGATACTGGCATCGACTTCTTGTGCAATGGCAACTGTGCGGGCGTAGGTCTGGACGCCGTGACCTACGATGTTGTGGCGGACTGCTGGGCGAAGTCCGTCTGTGAAACGATGGGCTCTCTTTGCCTCCGTACCCACAAGATCAGGTACAAAGGCTCCGAGACGGGTAAACTCTCTTTTGTACTCGTCGACAGAACGAGTACCCTGGGTGAGTGCCAAGAACTGGCGCTCCATGTTTGCTCGGTAATACGAGGGATAATACTTCTCTCGGATCAGCTCCTTGAATTGGTCCCACGTACAACCGTCTTTTTCACCGGGACGCATACTCCAATAGGCATGCCACCAGAGTCGGGCATCACCGGTCAGCTGGATCTGGGCACATAACATGTGGTAACGATCAGGGAAGTTCATGACCTCGAAAATAATCTCGAGGCCCTGAACCCATTCATATACTATACGAAGATCTCCTTGGCCGGAAAACTTTTCTGGTTGGTAGTCGCGAAACTGTGCGACCACTGTGGCCTGGGAGCGTTCCTGGTGTTCTGGATCTCTACGAGGAGGCATTTGAACATTGAAATGTTTAACATGATTAAATAATATAAGAGATTAACTGACTAACTGCTTAAATACACAAATCTCTTGACGAGTCGCAAAACAACCCGAGAATACTAAAGTCGAACTATCAAATGACTGAGACAATCGACTAAGTTATGTAAATACTCGAGCATCTTACTGGTTTCTAGGGTCAAAATATCTAATACCCTCTTACTGAGCATAGACTTAAGTATTCGTTTAAATATATAAACTGTAACTCAGCACTTACCTGATAGTCGGCGATGCGTGAGCGTAGCGTGGTCGGGTCTTTTCTGAAAAATTTCTGACTTTAAAAGTATTCAGATACACGAAAATGTGCTCTGATACCAATTTGTAACACCCCGCTAGCTTACTAAAATCAGAGTGCGATTTTCGCAAATCCTTTTCTAAAGTTTACGTTTTAGTTTGCGAAACATATCTCGGGATGCTACACCAAATATTTCTTTTCTCAAAATCCGTTAAATTTATTAATTTTAAACCCATTTATGAAGAACGTATTATCTTTTATAAAACAAGCGTGTGATACTGTATAAAACTTGACCCGAAAGCTCGGATCGTCGTCTGAAAATTTACACGCTAGTTTGGAAGTCTGATAACGTCAGCGGAAGTAAAAAAGTGGTGAATATATACATATCCACAGTCTGCAAAAATATATACATATTTACATGTACTGGACCGGCGACCACCAGCTCCACTCACTCCTCCGGACCGACCCTGTCACCTGAAAAGATCATAATAGTGGGAGCGTGAGTACTAAAAACACTGTACTCCGCAGAAACTCATACTAAAGTAAACATTAATAATAATATCAATATCATGACTGCAGGTATATATAAATAAACTGTAATCTCCAGACGCGAGGTCTGTACTGAACTGGCCATGTGCACACTCTGATGGGCAATTAAGGCTACTGCGCCTCCACCAGAACTCTGGATGGGAAATTAAGGCTACTGCGCCTCCACCCAAAGTGGAATAACTCATATACATACCTTAAAACATGATAGAGCAATTATAATCAATGTAATACCAGTCTGAGTCCCCACCTGTACTGATAATGTAAGTGCTGCTGCTGATCACTCTGTGAAAATATATAAATAAACAAATACTAAGTACTATGCTCAGACTGACTGAAAATAGCTGTTAAGATGCTCGACTCGATCTAGATATTTACCTGGAATATTCTCGGGATTAACTTGACTGACAAGAAAAACAGACTTGTACTGATATTGGTGAACTGAACTGACTGGACTGAAAAATTAACTGAAATACTGTACTGGACTCGAACCGGATCAGTAAATACTGAACAACTCAAAAACCGGTCTAAACCGGCTGGTTCATTTTCTGGCCGGACCGTCGGCTCACTGCGGCCGGGCGGTCGGCTACTGGCTGACCACCGGCTCGATCACTCGCGCACGCTGG